CCAGTAAAGGTAGCAGAGCCTCTGGTTGACCCAGTGGACCCTAAACTGACATCTACCGACGACATCAAGTTTGGTACTCTGATGACTGTCCGTGTCCGGTCAGTCAAGGACACACAACTCAACGTTGAGCTTGCCGCAAATGTTCCCGGTCGCATTTCTGTATCAGAACTGTTTGAGAACTGGGACAGCATTCCCGACAAGAAGCGACCAACTGCACACTTCAAGATGAACGATACCATCCAGGCTCGGGTTTTGGGAAGGCATGATCCTCGCAATTTCCGTTTCCTACCGATCACATCTCGGTCAAGCAACAAGACGACAACATACGAAATGACTGCAAAGACGGAGGAGATCAAGTCAGAAGCGGATGTGTTGAGCCTCGATAAAGTTACAACCGGCTCGTCTTACATTGCTTTCATCAACAACATTGCCGACCGCCATGTCTGGGTGAACATCTCAGCCAACATCCGCGGGCGCATTGACTTCTTCGACCTGACTGATGATCTTGAGAAGCTATCTGACGTTGAGAAGAACTTTCCTGTGGGTTCTGCTCTCAAGGTCCGCGTAAAGGCAGTGGATGCTGTGAATGGAAAGCTAGACTTGACAGCTGCATCTACAGTGACCGGCAAATCGCTGTCTCTCCAAGACCTGAAAGTCGGTCACGTCCTACCCGCACGTGTGACCAAGCTGCACGATGCATCGATTGTTGTCCAAATCAACGAAAGCATCGCTGCACCCATCTTCATGGAGCAGTTGGCAGATGACTACGACAAAGCTCAACCGAAGAACTTTGTGGTTGGCGATGTCTTGCGAGTGTGCGTTATTGACATTGACATTCCAAACAAGAAACTAGGATTGTCGGCCAGACCTTCCAGGGTCCTGAGCTCTTCATTGCCAGTCAAGGATCCCGAAATCACCGACCGTGCACAGCTCAAGGTAAACCAAGTCGTCCGTGGCTTCGTCAAGCACATTGCAAACAACGGTGTCTACGTCCGTCTAGGTCCACATGTTGAAGCCTATGTCCGCGTCAGTCATCTTTCGGACGAGTACATTAAAGACTGGAAGAGTGCATTCCATGTGGATCAGCTCGTGACCGGCAAGGTTATCTCGAACAAGGACGATCAGCGCAACCCACAGCTGAGTCTGAAGACTTCAGTCATCAAGACAGACTACGTCGAGCCCCTGGACTTTGCTAATCTAAAGATTGGCCAAATCGTCACTGCCAAGGTCAGGCATGTAGAGGACTATGGTGTCTTTCTCATTGTCGATAACTCGAATAACGTTAGCGGTCTTTGCCACATCTCTCAAATAGCAGATGCTCTCGTTGATAAGGAGAAGCTCAAGGATATGTACAAGAAGGATGATGTTGTCAAGGCCAAAGTCATCAAGGTTGACCCCAAGTCGAGGAAGGTCAGCTTTACATTGAAGTATTCACAAGTCAAAGACCAAGGCGAAGATGAGGAGATGGAGGACGCCTCAGATGTCGAGCAATCTGAGGATGGCTATTCTGACGGAGGAATCGAGCTCGACGATGACGTTGATATGAGGAGCGTCAAGAGCGCCGAAAGTGATGATGACATTGAGCTTGCCGATGCAGACAGCTCTGACGAGTCTGACAACGACGAGTCAAAGGCAACCGCAAAGGGCCTCAGCACTTCTGGTTTCGACTGGACAGGCGCCACTCTCGACTTCGATCAGCAAAAAGGTGCGGCTGAATCCGAGTCCGAAGATGATGCTCCAAAGAAGAAAAAGAAGAGCAAGAAGGCCACCATCAAGGAGGATCGCACTGGTGACCTTGATGCCTATGGCCCTCAGTCTGTCGCAGATTACGAGCGCTTACTCCTCGGACAGCCTAACAGCGCCGAGCTGTGGGTACGCTATATGGTGTTCCAGCGCGAGGTCAACGAGATTGAGAAGGCGCGACAGATTGCCCGTCGTGCGCTGGCCACCATCAACCCGCGAGAGGAGAAGGAGAAGCTCGACGTCTGGACTGCCTTGCTGCACTTGGAAAATGACTTTTCCAGTGACGATGCAATCAACGCCGTCTTCAAGGAGGCATGTCAAAACAATGATGAGCGCGAAATCCACGAGCGCATGATCAAGATTTACATTTCATCGGGCAAGATTGACGTGAGTATCTACGTTCCCTGACCGTCTTTTGCAAGTTTGCTAACAGCATGATAGAAAGCAGATGAGCTTTATCAGTCCATGATGAAGAACAAGTCGTTCACAGCCGACCCGAAGTTCTGGCTTTCTTACGCCGCATTCCTCATGGACGTTATCCAGCCGCCATCTCCAGCTCGGGCCCGCGCCCTTCTCCAACGCGCCACACAATCTGTTGCAGCCGCTCAACACCGGTATCTTACCCAAAAGTTTGCCGCGCTGGAATTCAAGTCGCCCAATGGCGATACCGAGCGCGGCCGCACCATCTTCGAGGGTCTCGTCGACACTTTTGCCAAGAAGGGAGATGTATGGGACATGTATCTGATGCTTGAGCAGAGTCACGGTGAGGCTGACAAGGTGCGGGATTTGTTCGAGAGGATGACCAAGGTGGGCAAGTCTTCGAGGATCAGGGGCGTGTTCAAGAAGTGGGCAGAGTGGGAAAATAGCGTGGGGAACAAGAAGGGGGTTGAGAAGGTGAAGAAGCTGGAGGAGGCATGGAGGGAGAAGAAGGCGGAAGAGGCGGAGAAGGATAACGAGTAAACGTTAGTTCTTGTTGTTGAACTGGATCGATGTTCGGTTGAATTACGATGCATTAGTAGGTGTTTTAGAGTAACGGGAAAATGCTCAAGGAAAAAAAGCGGTATCGGTCTTGTTTGCTTATTCTATTGGAACTGAGAAGCAGTGGTGACTGATGCACAAGTAGGGAATTGATGAGATGCGGTCGTGTGTCCTCTTCTCCTTTTTTCTTTTTTGCTGTTCAACGGTTTTTGTTTTGGGCCGTTTTTTTTTCAAAAGGAGAGAGTGGCGTGATAGTCTAGAGACTCGTTTCCAAATGCAATCATACACAATTCTAATGAGACGACATAAGATATACGCCGTGGGGCTACTACCAGCATAAGTAACCCAGAACATACGACACAGAGTACTGCCGTGGATGATGCAATACCAAGACTCGATACCGCTGAACCCCTCAGTATGCATTTACTATTTCCGTCCATACAGCATCGATGCCCGCCTCGCGGGTCAGTGCGTTGTGGCGCCTTTTTTTTTATCTGTACGCGGTCAATATAGGATGTGGTGGTGCCAAGCACGCGCACGTGCCATGACCCGTATCTTCCACCCCTCGAGGGTAGGTTTACGCGACAAGGGTCTCTCTTGGATTGGCTAGAGAATAGGATGACAAGTGGGTGCGATGCATGGGGCCCTGCACTCCACACAACATGTCTATCTTGCATGAACCAAGCCTATCAAACGGCAATCTATTTTCTTGGCTCTGACTGCTTGTTCTACCGTGGATGCCTGGATTCAAGTCGTACGAAAACATGTGCATGTGCCTGATCTTGCGCAACCCGCTGCTGGCCCGTCTACTGCGTACATGCCGTTGGATACCTCTTGTCAGCACTGTCACCGTGGTCTGCCTGGCCTATCAGCTTCCGCTTGGCACTCCGCTCTCCTCCGCTGACACGGCTGGGCCTGCATGTGGAATGGGCTGCCAAACGTCAGTCAGTCAGTATTCGGCGGATGTTTTGCCAAGCATCGGCTCTGAAACAGGCCACGGGATCGGAAACACGCTAAGTGCCATTGTTCTAGACGCGAACCCACTGTGGTCAACGTGGGGCGGCGCTAGCGGCCGGACTAGCGTGCCGGCTCTGATCCAGGAGTCGCGCGCCTGCCTAACCGAGAAACCCAAGCAGCCACCCCTTTGGGCCTCATCGCTGCACACTCGTCCAGTTGCTTGCAGACGGCGTCTTAGCAGCTCCAAATAACTCAATCGTGCTCAAGGGCATTGTAAATCTTCCATACATGCCAATAACAAAGCGACTACATAAGGCGTTTGATGTATGCTCACGCGTATGTCCACTGCTCATCCTATTCCTCTATCCCTCGCTGTGCTCGAGGTTGCCCAATCTCTTTCCCCTGCCATCACACACACCCATGCGCGCGCATACCAAGGGCGTTGAACACCATGCGGAGAGGCTCGGTGATGCTGTGCAATACCGTCGTGCAACCCGGATCCGCTCGGCCAGGTTGCTGCTAAGTGGTTGTAATGCGTGATCCCCGTCATCTCCTAGCATCAAACGTTGCACGTATGGGAAAAATGCTTGGGCAAGTCCTCGCCCCACGAAACAAAACTGACTGGTGGAAAACAACATCACCTGTTTCTTCTCGTACAGGCAAGCCTAGATGGGACAGATGGGTCCATCAAGCCTCGTAAACGCCTCGTTCCGCAGTCTGCTCGGCGACGCATAGACGTTTGGAGGTGGATGTAACGGCTTACACTATCTTCACAAAGGACAGGCGCCCCGAACGCCAAGTAACCGAACGCCAGGAAGGCTGTTTGAAACAGTGACGGGCCTGGCATTTTCTGCTGCCAGACCCACGCCCCCGGTGACCCAGTTCCGCTAAACAGACGCCAAGATACCGAACACCACTACAATCACCTCCCACGGCCCATGTTTTCATTTCGCTTCGCCACAGACAAGCGGGCACGGCGGGTCGAGATTGCCGCCAAGGAAACAAAACCTCATGCGCCTCAGGCACTATGGTAAAGAAGTGCTCGACACCGAGGGGCGGGTTGGAGTGCATTAGCACTGAAAAGAGTTAGTGACCATGACTGAGGCGTTGAACAGAGCCAAGTGACGGGATACATAAGAAGTCGTGTAGAACGTCCCTGAAGCCTCACCAGCACTTCACTGCCAACCTTCTTTCGCTTTTTCACAGTCTTTCGCTACTGCATTCGTTTCTCAAGGCTAGTCCTTCCATTCAATCCTTTTTCACTTTCCAGTCCAAGTTCAAACAACGACAAACACCAACCTCAATCTCAACCTCAACTCGACATGAAGCTTTCACTCCTCACCGCTGCTGCCATTGCGCAGATCGCCTCCGCCCATTACTTCTTTGAGCGTCTTATCATCGATGGCAAGGAGACTAAGCCTTACGAGTTCGTTCGTGAGAACACTCGTGCTATCAAGTACAACCCTACCAAGTGGAAGAACCCTCTCGACAACATCACCCCCGATGACACCGACTTCCGCTGCAACAAGGGTGCTTTCTCCTCTGCCAGCCGCACCGGCGTCGCTGAGGTCGCGCCTGGAACCAAGCTGGCCATGAAGCTCGGTGTCGGCGCCACCATGCAGCACCCAGGCCCAGGCCATGTTCACATGTCTCTGGCTCCCGGCTCCGTCAAGGAGTACGAGGGTGATGGTGACTGGTTCCTGATCAAGCAAGTCGGTCTCTGCACCAAGGGAGATATCAAGAAGGACGCCTGGTGCACCTGGGACAAGAACAACATTGAATTCGAGATCCCCCTCAATACCCCACCTGGTGAATACCTCGTCCGTTCCCAGCACGTCGGTGTCCACGGTGCCCACGACGGCCAGGCTGAGTTCTACTACGGCTGCGCCCAGATCAAGGTCACCGGCAACGGCACCGGCGTCCCAGGCCCCATGATCAAATTCCCCGGTGGCTACAAGAAGACTGATCCCTCCTGGAACTTCAGCGTCTGGGGCGGATACAAGGACTTCCCCTTCCCCTCGCAGACTGTCTGGACCGGCGAGAACAGCGGCGGTGCTCAGTCTCCTGCTCAGTCCCCCGCTGCCTCGCCTTCTCCTTCTCCCTCTGCTGCCGCCTCCAACCCCCAGCCTTCTCAGTCCGCTACCCCTGTTGAGCAGCCCGCCGGTGTCCCGGTTACCCAGCCCAGCAGCGCCCCTGTTGAGCAGGCTCCTTCCGATGACTACCCCACTGAGGAGGCCCCCAAGCCTACTCCTGCTACCCCATCCCCTGCTACTCCTGCCACCAGCAAGCGTCCTTGCAGCGGTGGCAAGAAGTCTAGGCGCGGTAGCCGTGCTTTCCGCCAGTCTCTCCGCAAGTAAATAAAAAAAAATCTGGAATGATTTTCTGAAATTCTTCGAAGAATCTCCGCGTTTGAATGTTGAAACGATAGGACGGGTTTTGTGGCTTCTGGAATTTCGAAGAAAAAACAAATATGCATGGTTGGAACACTCTTTTTGATTGTGGTCTGGCCTGATTCTACTTCTTTTTTGGGTTTGCATATAAGTATTATACCTTCTTAGGCAGCGGTGCTGCGCTTGTATATATTAAGAAATACAAAAGCCTCATTGACTTTTTGAAAAAAATATTTGACTTTATTTGCACATGACACTTTCAGACGTGAGATGAAGAAAACTTTTGTTTGTTTTTGGATAATTCATAGCAGACTTGATAATCATGATCTTAAACGCCACTTACCTATTATTATTATTATTATTATTATTAATTAACGTCCTGTCTCAGCTGGTAGGCTATATAAGACGTGCA